AATGGCACAGTGCATTTACAGTGTGAGCTGTTCCAGGAGACGGGAAATGTGCAGGCTTTTATAATAAAGCTGGAGGGTTAAGCTACAGTGATAATCCTAACAGAGACAAGAATAAGAAAATAAATCCTTCTAGGGGTTTCAAAATATATTCCATTCAGCCTGACAGGCCATTGATCTAAGCCTTCAGTTTAGCAACTATTGTTCTCTGCAATTCTGCCTGATTTTACTGCAAAATGGCTCGGATTTGGAAATCCAGGTGTCAGGAAGACAGTTAGCAGGACCACACCAGTATAGTCCACCGCACCATAAGGTAGACAGGTGAGATTCCCAAGCACAAGTGTGTCCCGGGCACGGGCTCCTCTAATTGATACAAACAACAGATCAGCTCCTACAAAACTTTTTTTTATACAAACTTACACTCACATTCTCATAAAATGACAATGACTGCAGAATATGATAATGTGGACCAATTAGATAAGGACATTAAACTTCCCCCCTTCTGTAGAGAAACTGCCATCACTGCCTTGTGACTGTGGATATCACTTGTTCCAGCAGTCTGGCTACAATATATTCACTACACCAGGATAAGTTGAAAGAAACTTTGCTGAGTGATAAAATGGCAGCTGACTATGACCCTACTGAAGAACGTGAACCATTTTAATTCTAAACAGAGAAGACAATAAGGGATCTCATCCAAGTATTAAGAAATTAATGCATAATTTCATAATTACACAGTAATTCAATGTTTTAATAGTAGTGCTCACCTTCGAACTGTCAAGTTCAATTTACACTAATTTACATACAGCATAAAGAGCAAGGAAAGAATATATGCCATATCTGAAAAGACATGGTTACTTAAAAGATCATTTTAAAGTCAATTAATAAAAAAACACATTTAAAGTTATTTTCCCAAAATATATTGCTCTTAATGCACATATATGAAATCTCTTGTAACCCTTTCATACTGTATGTGTATTGCTGAGTTCAGTCTAATGAGCCACAGTGGGTAATACTGAACTAATCTGTCATGATGATCAATATCACTCAGCATGTGATTTGTGTAAAAAAACATCACGTAAGACATCAAAACAAGCATGAACTTGTTTGTGGAATATTGTACATTTTCGTATTAAAAACAAAAGAAATGTAGAACATTAGGAGAAACATTTTCATAGTACTAACACAAGCACAGTCAATGCAAGTAGTAACGCTATACTCTTACAAGATGAACAGTTCAACTTTGTCTTTGAGATTCATTGATTCTACTCAAGAGGCAGATGGCTACATTTGAAATCAGTTTTGAAGAGGAGCAAGAACATCTGCATCCTTAGTTTCCTAAGGATAAAAGTATAGATTTGCTGAAATTTGATGGCAAGAAATCATGTGACTTGGTGGTATGCTATCATTGACTTGGTGTAGGATACAGTAGGACACAAATGTAAAGAAATTCCTTTCAATCATCCATACAATCAAATCTAAGTTCCACTAAAGGGCAGAACACTGTAAAAATAATAAAAATAAGTAGAGTACTTTACATTACATTATCACATTACATTACATTATCACAGTGCATTCATGAGACATTATCTCAAGGGGCTCTAATATATAATAAGACAAAAAAACAGTGAAGAGTATACACAATTTTTTTTAAATTGATTCAATTGCATTACATTACTTTTCCAATGAATTCTCCTAAGGGCACATTTGAAAGTTGATTACTACAGAGCAAATACAATATTCTACTACATTTACTGTACTTCCTGCCTTTAGCATTTTCATCTGAATAAAATGGAATCAGAGCCAGTCTGACCCCTGGTTTTTGCAGAATACTTCAGACATGTCTGGCACTGGCTCTCATTGATGCTGATGCTAATGGCTCCTTTAACATATGCAGGCCAGCACACTCAAGGCTGTAAATGTAATGGTAAATACAACTGGTACTGTTAGAGGTTGATAACTCACATGGGGAGTTAATGAGGTGAGCAGAGACCTCTATTATAAAGCAGCCATTCTCTTGTATCTTATCACGTTCACCTCTCTTGCATACCGTGAGCATGGTTTACACAATTTAAAGGCTGCTGCCAAGCAAAGAGGAAGTGGCTGGAGGGCATGGTGAAAACACACAGTCATGGTAAAGCACAGACATGTTCGATCAGGCACGGTCCTTGCATGGCAATGCGCTGTGATGGACACCACCCCGAAGGGAGAGTCGGTTTGCAGCTCTCCTTTGCTGATGAGGTAACTTGCTGGCTTAGGTTCAATTTCCAGTCTGACCTCTCTTCAAAAATCCATTGGTTATTTAACAAATGAATCCCATATGGGGTAGTAGGGGGGCGCAGCCTATCCTGGCAAGCAATGGGTGCAAGGCAGGATACGCCCCGGGATGGGGCACCACCTCTACACAAGGCGCAGACACACAACCACACACTCACACCACGACAAGGCTGGAAACACTGTGGATGAGATGGGCTCACACTGACACAAGCACACACACATGCTTAAACACCGGGGACAATTTTCCAGGACGCCGACTACTCAAATCTTTGGATTGTGGGAGGAAACGGGAACACCTGGCAAAAACCCACACAAACACAGGGAGAACATACAAACTCGCACAGGTAGCACCCCAAGAATTGAACCCAGGGCCCCAGAACTGCAAGGCAGCAATGCTGACCACTGCAGCGCTGTGCCACTGTGCTGCCCCCTCGGAGCATTAAAATATGCATCATTTTTTGTATTATTATATAATATATACTGTTTACAGTTCATATACAGTACAGCACTACCCATTTTCCCCACTAACTACTAGAAACTATATCCGTATGGAAATCAGAAAGCTGGAGAGAAGGGGCTTAAGGGCTATGAGGCGTAACTCTGCCCTCTTACCTTTTCTGATACAGATGAGCTCGTGTACTCCGCAGTTGCGCTCGCCACCTGTTGAGAAAATGTATTTTTAACGACAATGGCACTGATGGCATGAGACAAACACAGACAGACAATCAATCTAGCTGGGCTGGTTAGCTTTCCTTGGATGAATGGCAACAAGAACAACAACAAGGGTGCAGGATGGGCAAGACAGACAGACAAGGCATAGGTCACCACAGTTTTTCTGTGCACGTCTCTGTTTGACTGGAGAGGAAAGAAAAGCACAAGAAAACCAGGCTACTGCTTTTAGTCCATCCCATCTTAAAAAACTATATGCATCAATTTTTTTGAGAGGGAACAGAAAGCCTGATGCTTGTTATAAGGAATTTTCTAAAGCATTTCTGAGAGATAGGAAGATGAGCTCACACCCTGATTTTCCACAGACCCTCAGAAATAAAACCAAATAGCTTCCACCCGATACTCTAGAAAACATCCTCAAAAGCAGGGGAAAAATTGGGACCATAAGAAGAACAATCTAGCAAGCTGGCCTGTTTGGTACAGTACGTGTAGTTAGTAGCTAAATGATCTGAAGATATCGTTCAGCCGTTTCTTAGAAAAAGGGTATTGGCTTCAACAACATGACTGAGTAGCTTGTTCCAGACTCACACAAAACCTTTGAGTAAATATGCCACCCAACATGCCTCAGGCACAGTTTAAACAGGAAAAGCGGTACTTTAAACTGCTTAGGGGTGTGCCTGAAATCCATTTCTCGAAATACTTGTCTCATGTAACTGGTGATATTACAATGGGCTTTGATAACATACTGTATCACTGAGAGTAAATCAGCACCATATTAAAATACAAAAACATTATTTTGTCTTCTGGGTCTTTTTACCAACGTGTTAGGATGACCTTGGAAAGGAATATGTCTTCTTCATAGACAACATAACATTTATTTTAAGGAAACAAAAAGTGTTAAGCAGAGCCATAGATATGTCTCACAACATATTACATTATATTGTTACATATGGGGGGAGAGGTTATGAAAATCAGAAAATGTCTGAGCAGATAAATCAATAAGTAAAATATATAATCCTAATCCCAAATTTGTAAAGATTTTACCAACAATATACAGTACCCAGGTGGTCGGTATTGTTAGAGGGACAC